TTTTATTTAAAATAGTTAATTAATTATATTGTCAATTGTAATTTTTTTAATTATGTGATATTGTCTATTGATCTTTTCTTATGGCTATTAACTCACCTCTCACTTTTAAAACTCACTTGTCAAATAATGACTCACTACTTCGCTTTTGACTCACTTTTATAAAAGTAACTCACTTAAAAAATAATTTACTATTTTAATGGTTTTTTAAATAATAAAATAAAATTTCTTCAAAATAATAAAATATAGTTTTAATTTAAATTACTATATAAGTATCCACTCAATCAAAAACTTGACCATTTGGGCAAATTTGCCATTAATCAAAATAATTAATATCTGGATTGTGATGAAAAAACAAAAATAAATAACAAAATAAATAACATTTTGACTTACTTAAATTATTTTTGTTATTAAATTAAAGTTTTCATAAATGAAAAAAAATATAAACAAATCGATTAATCGATTTAAAAAAATACTCTTTGAGTTCAATAATTATATCGTTGTCAACACGAAAGATATCGCCATACAAATTCAACGAAGTGAATGTGTTGTTACACATTTGAATTTATTATATTACATTATTAAAAAATGTATCATTTTTGATTTGAACAATCAATAAAAATACAATAAATAATAAATCAGTTTTGTAATAAAAGATATTTGAATTAAACGAACAATATTTTAAAGTAAAAACATTGAATAATATAAATCCAAAATGATAAACATGTTTTTCGTCATCAAGAACAATTACATACGTTTGTCATAACCCAAACAACTGGTTTAATTGTTTATTCATTACAACAATACATACAATAAAACTACGAATAACAAAGACACATTATCAATAAAGTACACTTTTACTACAAACACAACTTAATATATAAAAATTTAATAATGTAAAATGTTAAGATGTCGGAATAATAACTTATTAGAGTATATGATGAACACAACATTAAACAGCTGAGTAATGTTTATAACCAAAATATCATGTAAATTTTAACAACAACACAAACAATGAAAATAATAAATTGGGTTGTATTGATTAATTTCTATGATGAAATTATTTTAATTACGTTAATTATTAAAAATGTGATTTAAAAAATGAAGTCGATTAACATATGTATAGTTTTACACATTTAAAGTTGTCTCTAAGTTGTATACCTTTTAATTAATTGAAAAAAACAAAGTTGGTGCATTACAAAACCTTTGAATGTGTAAATAAAAATAAACATTTGTGTTAATTTTTTTTATTGATATTTTTTTGATAAAATATAAAGAAACAGATAATTTAATTCTGATTGGAGCTTATGTTTAATAATTGTGACATTTTGTTCGTTCAATGAAAAATCTTTAAGAATTTGTCGTAGTTTATTACTTTTTTTAATTTTAGTCATTGCGTCGTTATTCACAAATATAATACAACAACTTATGTTAACAATTATAGACAAGTATTATTTATTGTTTTTTTTACTTAATTATCATAATATTTTTTTCATCTCACAACACACAAAATGAAACCATTGTATTTCTTTAACATCACAACAATTATCAAAGTAAAATAAAAACAAATTTAATTATTGCTTGTTGACGATTTTATAAAAAAGATTCATAAAAAATTACTGTTTATTTCACACTTTTATGAAAAATATAATACATTTTAAATAAAACATTAAAACTTTTAAATATGTAACTTCATACTAACAACGAAAATGATTCCACCAAATTAAATAATATGTATCTGTTTGGGCATAATAGTATTTTGGATAAAAATATAAACACATATATATATATATATTAAATATATTAAATTTGTTGTCCAATAGTTTATGACAAAATTGTACAACAACTCAAAATGATTTAATTTGAATTGATAAATGTAAATTTTGTCAAATTTTTAATATTGTTGTTTTGGATACTATTTGTACCAAATAAATTTTTTCTTTACCATTTATTTTATTTTCTATTTTTCGAGTATTATAAATATAGTTAATTATGGTTTATTTTTTAAATAAATTTTACAAACTTTATATAGTTGTTGAACTATGGATATACTAAACATAGTTTTTTTTGATGAGTATAGTTTTTTTATAGTAAAACGACGAATATTTAATTTTAAATAGTTAAAGTGAGTTACTTTATGCCAAGGTGAGTTAATAGCCATTAGTTCGTTGTTTTAAAAAATAAATTGTGTTACCAAACTATTAAATTATAATTAACTATATTAACATTTGTGCTATTTGTTTTTAGATGAAAATATTAACTTTAATATGATTCTAATATATTTTACTATAGTTTGTAGTTTGAAAAAACCCATAATAAATAAAAATACCAAACTACTTCCATTTAATATACTTCAGAAAGATACAACGGGACACAAAGAGTAGATATGCCGCAACTGTCGAAACTTGTTGAACCCGGCGAGTTGCGGCGTCGTGAATCCATCTCCAGAAGATACAAGACACAAAGAGGAGATGCCTAAAAAAAGAAACATCGAAGATATCCTAATCAAGTGTTCGTTCCAGTGTTAGGTTTGAAGGGTAAAACCGTTTTCTTTCTTTCTATCCGGCCCTTCAAAAAGGGTAGATTTTGTTAAAACTTGTGTACATTAATTCATGTTGTGGTGACGTGGCAAATTACAAAAATGACATTTGGAGTTAACGTGTTGCAAAGTTTGATACAAAAACAAAAAGTGACAACAAAGTCAGTTAAGTTGGAAGACAACAACACTCTTTGGTGTGAATTTGTTATCAGTCAACTCGTTGTGTTTGGCGGTGTAAGTGTATGGGTTGCTATCACTACCATCAATGCCATTTTTGTACACACCTATATCATAACCAAATCCAAAGAGATCTGAACTGCCTTGAGAATAAAGATAAAATTCATAATCGGTGTTTTTTCCACTTTTACCAAACTTTTTAGGTTTCAAAGTGTTTTTTCTCACAAGTGAAAAGATGTAAGAACTGCCACTGTTGAGCCATTTGTTAACAGCATTGATATTTCCAGTGTACACGCCACCAAACTTGTTGTGATTTGTGTCTTCTATCAAGAAGCACAAATTGCTTTTGTTCATAACTTTTTCACCAAACACTGAAGTGCCTTTTGACCAGTTGTCTTTGTCTGAGTCAAACACAACGCTTCCAATCTTCTTTCCTGTCAACTTCTCAAGACTGGCTTCTTCTCGAATTGTGATGTGTTCTTGTTTTATTCTTTCTTCTTCTTCATCGTGTTGTTTCTTCGCATTGATGTATTTCTCTGATTTTATAATTTGATCGACTGCTTTGTTCTTAGCCTGGACAATTATGTAGGTTTGGTCTTTAGATTGTTTAATATCCATTTGGCACTTTTCCTCAAGAAGTGCAATTCTGAGATTGAATATTTCATACAACATGTTGTTGTCGCTCTGTGTTGAATACAGAGCCATTTCACTTTTGATTTTGTTGGATGCGTTATCCAAATCAGTGACAATGGTGTTGAGTGAAGTTGTGATGTTTTTCTTTCTCTCGAATACCTCATCGAGTCTGTCGAAATATCCCTCTGCATTTTCAATGCGTTGTTCAATACCAAAATACTTGTTGTCAACAAAGTTGTCTTCTTTTTTTATTTTGTTGAGGTCTGACACCGCCTTTGCTGCGTTAGTGCAGAGTGCTGAGAGTGCTGTTAACTCGTTTTCCATGTATGTTAATAGAGTTTATTTGTTTTTATATTTAATTTTTTATAAATCTCATTCAAAAACATTACCTCATACAGAATGATTTTTTTCTAATCAGAAATAAAATCATTCAAACCAACATAAAATGGTTTTAATTTCAACCAAAGTTATTCAAAATATGTAATTAAACTTAAAACCACAAAATTATAAACTTAAAAGTTTTTTAACTTTTAAAGTAAAAAAGCGGGAAAATACATAGATATTGTTATAATTGCTAAATAATTATTTAACTATCAATATGACTAAAAGCAAACTCAATATTTGTTTTTGATAATTTTTATTTTTTAACTAAATATTGTTTATTTATATGTTGCTATTAAAAAGTTTAACATAAATAACACATAAATAATAATAAATGATTTTTATAAATCCTATAATCCCCTTATATCCCCTTATATCCCCTTATATTTCCCCTAATATATAATAGCAAAATCGGTATAGTTATTTACAATTACTATTCTTATTAATTCTATACTATTAAGTGTGTACTATATTAATGGTTAATTTTACTAAATATAATAGTAAAATATGATACTATTTAAAAAACGTTAATATTTTCACTAACTATCGTTTTATTATAGTTTAGTTCCATAAAAAAGATAAGTATTTAAGGCAACCTTGAAGATCCATCAAAATGCTTGGGCTGACAATAATTATTTAAAGTCAAAAACATACGTAAAATAATTAAGAACTTGTAACAAAAGGTTTGAAATGCGTGTCAAATAATTAAAAATATAAAAAAGAATTAATTAATTATTTTTTAAGTTAAAAAAAGTGATTACAAAAAAAATTATTTGGTAAACAAAAAAATAATTGTATTTCTTTTAAAATATTCATATTTAAACAATTGTATTTCAATTTAAAAATGTAGTTTTTTGATATTCACACATACAGTTACCAATATGACAAGACTTGGAATAATAAATAAATAATTAACAATCATGTTGAAAGTAGATTCTTTCTGTTCGAATTCTGCAAGCTATCTCTCAGCTTCTTCGACCTTTCTGTCATACTGTTTAGCTAGTTTATTAGTCTTAGCAGCCGCGTTTTGTGCTTCTTTCTTTTCTGTTCCGATTCTCTGAGTTTGTCTGCATTGCTCTTCTTCTATGCTTTAGCCTGTTGAGCAATAATTCTTTCAAGATCAAGTTGTTTATTCAATTTAGTTAATTTATTTTCATAAGTGTTTTTCAACTGTTTTTAAATGTTGCCTCAATTCATTCTTCATCTCAGACATATTGTCTTCAAGTTTGTCACATTTGTCTTGTTTTTCGTCGAGTTCAGTTTTTGTTCTCATTTATTCTTCAGAAGCGGTTTTATAGTCTCTCACAGTCTCAACATTCTCTTGTTCAGCCATCTGGACTTTCTTCTCAAAGGTTACAGCTCTGAATGTGATTTCAGCGATATCCTTTTCATACTTTCCTTTAATCAATTAAGTTTCAGTGTGGTCTTTCTTTTCTTGATCAAGTTCAGTTCTAACACTCTTTGTTGTTCTGTCTCTCAACTCAGTGTTGTTTGCTTCTAAGTCTCTTTGTAACTTTTTGATTGAACCATTCAAATTGTTGGTCTCGTCTTCGTGTCCAAACACCAAGTTAATGAATTGGTCATATTCGTATTGAAGCTTCTTCTTTTCTGAAGAAAGTTGGTCTTTGTCATAAGCCAAGTTCTTCATGTTCTCTTTAATTTCGTCGTTTTCCGTTTTCAACTTCTTCGCTTCTATTTCTTTTGCAAATTTGTCTTTCTTGACTGTTTCAAGCTCTTCGTTGGCTTCAGCAACTTCTTGTTCTTGTGAGTAAATTTGTCGACTTTGGCACTCAATTCCTCAATCTTGTTATTGCTATTATTAACAGTTCCATTGAGTTTTTTCTTATCAGCAACATCGGTGTCGGCATTCTTCTTGAAATAGTCAAAATTCTGTTGGAGTTGGTCAAGTTCGGCTTTGGTTCTTCCCAAGTCGTTCTTAGTAATTCTCAACTTCTCAATTACGGCTTCAACTTCTTCATTAAGAGCAGCTTTTTCTCTTTCAGCGTCTTCCAATTTGGCATCAACAACTGATTTGGCCTTAGTCAAATTGTCATTGTCAGCCTTCAATTGAGACAATTGCTTTTCTTGAGCATCTTTCTTTCTATTCGTGTTTTCAGCATCAGCCTCAAGCTTGTCTTTGTTATCAGAAGTTCAGGCAAGGTGTTCGTTCAAGTTGTTAATTTTAACGTCTTTTTAAAGCATATTCGATTAAGAACCAGCCAAATTTTTTCAGTCTTCTCCATATCATCCTTCAACACTTGGATTTAAGCTTCGTAGTCGGCCTTCTGTGCTTTCAACATATCAGAATCATTCAGTTCGTTTTCAATTCTCTTTGTCAACTCAGCAATTTTTCTCTGAGCATCTTTATTGGAAGAATCAAGTTTTTCTGTTCTTATCTTCTAATTCGTCTTTCTCCGAGTTCAAAGCAAAAATCTTCTTGTCACTTGCATTCTTGGCCGAAGTCAAAGCAGCAGTCTTGGTCTTCCCTGCTTGCAATTGTTGGTTATACCCATCTCTCTCGTCTGAAACCTTTTTGTTTTGAATAACTTGTTGGTCGAGTTTCTTCTCGGTATCATCTAGAGCAAATTGAGTCTTTTTCAAATCATTTTTAGTATTGGCAAGATCGTCTTTAGTATCATTCAAAACAGCGCCAGTGTCTTCGTTCTGTGCGTTGACATCAGAAATGGTGTTTTGCAACTTCTTGACTTGTTTCTCCAAATCAGCAATGTCGTCTTTCTTTTCGTGTAATTGTGTCTCGAGATATTTTGAATTGTCTTCTTTAGCTTCAAGCTTTTTCTTCAAGTCAGAAATTTCGCCTTCCTTATCTTCAATGTCTTTGTTCTACTCGGTGATGACACTATCCTTCTTAGCAATAGTCGCTTTGTGCTCAGTAATTTCATTTTGAAATCTTTGATTATCAGCTTCAAGTTTCTTGTACTCAGTGGTTAACTTGCTCAAGTGTTCCTTTCCTCTCTTAACATCGCCTTGGTATTCTTCAATGTGTTCTTGGTCTTCTTGTGACTTCAGCCTCATCAAGTGATATCTTCTTTGACTCGATGTCTTCTTTAAGTTTTCAAACTAAAGTTTCCAAGTCGACGTTCTTGATTTTCATCTCAGAAAGTGCTTTCTCAGCGGCTTCTCTCTTTGCAATTTCTTCAGCAAGTTTCTTCTTGAGGGCTTCAATTTCTTTGTACTTGGCTGCAAGTTCCTCATCGACTCTTCTTCTCTCTTCAATCTCAGCAAGAACACCAACCTTGAAGAAAATCTTGGTCTTACCAAATCTAAATTCTTCAGTGTAACTTTTGTTATCCTTCTTGTACTTCTCACAAATTAATTTCATGAGTTCTTTGACTACTGGCATAGCATCTGAAGTCACTCCACTTGCTGTCATTAAAAACACTGAGACTGGCAAGAAGTGTCCACTTGCAAATTTATTCATTGATTCCATCAGTTACTATCATCAACCCAATGTTCTGTGTCTCATAATCAAAGAAAGCTCGAGCAGACTGTGGTATCAATGTTTTAGTTCCTGTTGTTGTAGCTTATGTCTCAGTTATAGTCAATAAATACACAGACGGTCTTGCTAAAAAACAGTAGTAAAATTAGTCTTCGACGACTATTTCGAGTCATTCAACGGGGTTTTGGTTGCACGAGAGAAGATGCACAATGCAGCTACTATTAATGGCATGGCTTTTTCCTTGGGGTTGTTCACTCAATGGTTCACAAAATAGGAGCCGCTTTTCATCTTTCATATGGTCGATGTGCTGTAGTGTTGTCACCACATGTTATTCAATACAATGGTGTTATCTCAAGAAAGATGGCGATGTGTCCAAAATACAGCATTTGTGTTGCAGACCAGAGATATAAACAACTTACTCATTTAGTCGAGTTGAAAACTGAGACTACGGCTGAAAAAGTTGAAGTTCTTGCAAAGGCAAAAACTTCAACACATATAGTTTTTCGAAAAATAAAGTATAGTCATGGTAAAAAAGGTTGTTGAGTAAAAATGGTTGTTGATTGAATAAAGGTTCGGTTTATTTTTGTATTTCTAGAAAAGTTACAAATTTCTTCGCAACATTGAAATAATATTGAAAATATGTTTTTGAGAAAATAAAACTAGAGTCAGTCGATAAATGTTGTCTGTTCCCCAAAAGTTGTCTTTTTGACAAAAAATAATTGATTTTTGTTTTAAAAAAAACGGGAATTAGGTAAAAATGAAAAAAAACCGGGAAAAATATTGAAACAATGATTTTGGGGTTTTTCAAAAAAATTCCCGAAATATTCCATTTATAATGGTCTAAAAATCGGCAGACAACGTTACAGACCAGACAACGTTTAGCAAATGACTCTATATATATGCAAAGGAGTGTATTTTTAAAACGAATTGTTTTCTTCTCAATCTCAACATTTTTGTGTGTTGATTATATAAAATGTATAACATTTTCAATTTTGAATCGAAAATTGTTTTTTTGTAATTCGAAAAACAAGTATAGTTCAATATAGTTAATATAGTTTCTGAAAAAATGAAAGTGCTTTTTTTTCACCATGTTCGAAAAATAGAACACAAACAAGGATAATCATAAAAACGATAATTGACAGTATTACAATTGGTTGTCAATTGTATAACATTAAGAGCTGTTTATTGAACATTATAGATATGACATCATACATAATCATTGTTGTTTATCAAAAAAAGAAAATGAAAGTGCTTTTTTTCACCCCCTTTCATTTTTTGAGTAAAATAAGAAATGAAATTGAAAAATTATATTATTGTTAAATTTGAGTACTCCTCTTTATTACAAACGACATTTGTATTGGAAGCAAACTATACACAATCATGAGTATCAAAGTTATGGTCACACAATCGTTTTTTAAATTTATTTTCTTGATAACATGAAAAATAGAAAATAAAGAGTCAATTGTTACATAAAAAAACAGGAAATCACCCAATAAGTATAAAAATATATTGCGATTAGATGTCAAATTGTTGGGAAAGAATAAAGACAATTTTTCGAAACACTTCAAATTATAATTATTAATAAAATTAACCATTAATTATAATAAAATTAATAAATACAGCTGGTTTCAGAACTCAATAATCATGTCCAAACCACAGCGAAAACCCGCTTTAAAAAAATTGGATTTGAGCGTGTTGCGCCACAGTACCAAATCAGGTCGTGGCTGTGATTTATTAGATTTCTGTGAAACCCATGCAACAGAAATCATGGAATGTCTAACACTCCAACAACAAATGAAATTGTTGAGAAGTGAAAAATGGCTTGAAAAGGGTTCAATTGAAACGAAAGCCAAAGTGTTGGGTGTCTCACCCTCGACGGCCCGCCTCAACAACTTGTATGACGATGTCGAAGGGAAGTCTGGAAGAAAACGAGAAATTAATCAATCGAGGATGCCGTTGTTGTTGGAAACAATTCGAGAAAGACAAAACACCACCAAACCAATCACCACTAAAGAGATGGGAAATGTTGTAGAAGGAGTTGTTGGGAAGAAAGTATCAAAAAGAACCATCGCAAACAGTTTGAGAAGGGAGGGTTTAATTAAGAAGATTGCAAAACCAATGGATAAAGAGAGAGCTGAGCTGAGTAAAGATGAGTTAAGAAGCTATGAAACTAGAGCAGCTGATTTGTTGAACAATGACAAACAATATGCCGGCGAAAGAGTTGTCCACTTGAACGGAGTTAAACCCTCCCTCCTTATCAACATGGACGAAAGTGGTTATTGTCCATTTGTGGACTCAAAAAGGAGCAACTTTTATGTTGACGACAACTATGACTACACCAACTCTTACTCTGTTGATCGCTCTCAAAAACGCATAACACTGATTGCAGGAATATTTGCCAACAACACCACGCTGAAACCAATGATCATACTATCAAACTTGACAATGAAAAATGAAATCGACAGATACATAGACAGAGATGATGTTGAAATTGCATATCAACGCAAATCCTTCATTACGGAAGACATATACACATTGTGGCTTGAAAGATGTCTTAAACCAGAACTGTAATTAAGAAGAAAAAATTGCCCACAAGAATGGGCGGTTTTAATACAAGACAACTGTGTTAGCCACATTAAAGACAGTGCTAGAAAGTGGCTGTTCGAAAATAAAGTGGCTTTATTATTATTGTGCCCACACAGTAGCCACTTGTCTCAGCCACTGGACGTCGTCATATTTGGCGTTCAAAAAGTTTGTTTTTTATTATTAGAGAAATTACTGAAATAATATTATTATTCAAAGCCGTTATAAGTCTTGTTAACATGTTTACTTTTCTTTTATTGTTATTGACTGATAGAGAGCAATGGGTTCTTCGGTAGTTTCTCGACTTGTTGGTATGAAGTACCCCGTTGGTGTTATGTCTCAAAAGGATGATGTTGAAGATGAAGTCAAGAAAGCTACAAAGCGAAGAAAAATGGAAATTTTAGAACTCAAGGATCAAGATGGTGCAATAGATTCTGCTAAGTTGAGAGAGTTGTCTGTTTGTATGGTCACAAAAAGAGTCGTTGAAATCATCCAATCGTTCAAAATTGCCTGCGTAAACAACAACAACACCTCAGCCTTTCACATGTGTGGTTACGTAAAAAAGCCAATTGGAAAAGAAAAAGAGGGTACTTATGATGTCAGAATTTTTTACTGTAGGGAGTATGCCTTCAGAATACGAGAGTTTTTGGGAGAACAAATTTGCGTAGTTCCCGTTGCCTTTCCTGGAAGAAGAAGCAACTTAAACATTGATAAAAACGAAGGCACTTCAAAATGATTGAAAATTTGTGTTATGTTTGATTTATTTTTTGAATATTTCCTGATAATTTCAATTTAAGTTGGGCTGACCTGTAAGATTAATTAAAGTACACAAGTTCAAAAGGAATTTAAAATGAAATTTATTTTTATTATTCAATCATTGATAATATTATTTAAGTTTAAAATAATAAAAATATGGTTTTAAAAACGTCTTTTTGATACAATTGTCAAATTATGACATCTCGTAAACTTTAAGTTTTTACAGATCAACTCTGATTTTTACATATTTAACAGATCAATTAAACTGATATTTTTATTATTTACTCGCGTTTAAGTAACAACTGCATTTTCCTTAATTATTATAACATCGTCAATCTTTTTTTTCACGACTGCTTATTATTGTTTGTTTTTTTATTTCTCTTTATTCAATGTGTTTATCGATTGCTTTATTTGCTTTAGTTGAACCAATACTGGTTGTCAAAAAAGGTGGAATTGTGGAGTTTGTTTACGTTTTGTTAATACAGAAGGTGTTGACCGTATAGGTTTAGCGTTTCTTTTGATGATTGGCTTTTTACTTGTTTAACCTTACGATTCTTTTTTTTTTCTTTTATAAAACATTTTTTTGGAAAAAAAAAATGTTTTGTTAATGAAAACGCCAATACCGTAAGTGTTTTAATTAAAACATTTCCAAAAATTGAAGAAAAAAAGAAAACCTATAAATTATTGTTTGCGCGATTGGTTTGTTTACTGTTCACAATTCAAAAGAGTCGCCACAAGTTAAGTTTATTTTGTATATCATATTAAGTTCAAAAAAATTATGTTTTATTTAAAACAGTAACAGTATTGTAAGGTTAATAATTGAGTTTTGTAAACTATAAAATATTGTTAATTAATTATAAATAAAACTACTTTTTGTTAAATAAGTTATTAATTAAATTAAATTAAATTATAATTATAATTATAATTATAATTACAAAAAAAAGATGTTCATTTTTTTTATTTTTTGAAAAAAGTCAATCCATCGAAATAAAGTACTTTCAAAATGAAAGCACTTTATTTCACACGAAAACATCACCACAAAAACCAAAAAACGGTTACTTTTCAATATTTAGAAAATAGACCCGAATTTTTATTATGAAAAGTGCCATAATAACACTTTTTTATTACGGAGTAGACAGCGTTTGGATTTGTTTTCATCATTTCTGACTATTATTGATGATGAATTCTGTTCTGGCTTTTTATTATAAAAGGACACTTAGCAATCTCCCGAATTTTTGGAGAAAAACAGCCTTAACTATTTCATGCTACTGTGCTCAAAACAGTTGAAGCCTGAAGTTGTTGTTACTTGGCTTTTTTCACTGATTTTTGTCATCTTCTCAATCTCCAAAAATCAGAAGATGTCAAAACCACTCACTGCGGAACAACAGGCCATAAAAGGCAAGTTTTCAAAGAACAATTTGACACACGAGTTCAAAACACAGAACGCACCAACTCCTTATAAAGAGGTGATTGCTGAACCTCTTGCTCAAGACTTATGGAACAACAATATCATTTGGGAATTTGTGAAAGGCTTATCTCCAGGAGTTGACTTGACTCGTATCCCCTTCCCTGTATGCATTACACAGGCCAGATCCTTTCTTGAGTCCTTCACAGACTACTTCAAGCACTGGACTTACTTATCCCAAGCGGCCAATGAGGACGACCCGTATAAAAGAATGAAATTGATCACGTTGTGGTACCTTACTGGCTTTTCCAATGCAATGAAGTTGGTGAGAAAGCCGTACAATCCCATATTAGGAGAAGTCTTCAGGTGTATGTGGGCTGACCCTAAGACGAGCGCAAAGACGTTCTACGTCTCAGAACAAGTGTCTCACCACCCACCCATATCTTCTTTTTACCTCACAAATCCGCAAGATGGATGGAGCAGCTCTGGCACTGTTTCATTCTCTGTTTCCTTTTATGGAGTGTCCGCTTGGGCTAATTTAAATGGAACACAAAAAATAAAGTTATTAAAATACGACGAGGAGTACACTTGGGTATTTCCTCCTACAAAAGCTTCTGGGTTTTTCATCGGGCCATTCATCATGGAGATGGGTGGCAACGTCCAGATCAAGTCAAACAAAACGCCCTTCTGGGCTGACTTGAATTTTCTGACGACGTCTATGTGGTCGAGTTCAAATTACCACAAAGTTAACGGGCAAATTAAAGATGGTGACAAGATCATTGACACAATAGCAGGAAATTATTTTGAGTCCGTCACTATTAACAACGATGTTTTCTTCGAAATTGCAAAACTTGACACCGACGCTCCGAAGCGGTTTGAAGTTCCAAAAGAGAGTTTGTGGGGGAGAGAGTCTCAAAAGGTGTGGGAAGACCTAACGAAAGCTGTTATTAAGGGGGATGGAAAGGATGCTGCGGACAAGAAGTATGAAGTTGAGGAGTGGCAAAGGATCGAACGAACGGAGAACCCGAGTTTTGGGGAGAAGTTTGTCCCGTTATTATTTGCGAAACAGGGTGATGGGGATTACCGCTACAAATACGAGACCGAGAGAATGCTTTCAAACGATGAAGATGTTATTGAACAAGGTGGTGTCATTTCCATCCAAAAGAAGACAGACTGAGCCATTACTAGATTCGCATCGAGTCGACAATAAAATAATTGATTTAACAAGTGTAGGACATTCAGTGTTCCATGAAGTATATACCATGGGGTGTTGTCACCATTGACACGCCGACTTTCAAGAAATTCATTTGCGAAAGTGGTTGGAGTGTTTTTGGTGGTACAAAGAGTGGTTCCTCCTTTTGTTCATCGGCGAAGTTTTGTTGATAAGACAGTGCTGGTGTTTTGAGAATTGAGTTACCTTCCTTAGCTTTCAAAGTGATGTATTTTCTTTTTTTGTCGAGGACCAAGTTATCTGCAATTCGGTGTAATTTCCGTTGGGAGTAAAACATGATTTGTTGCTTTGTTTCTCCGGTTAAAATAGCTGAACCGCCAGGGGTTCTTGTATGAGCGAAATTTTGTTCCTTTGGATTGATAGCTGGAGCAACCAAAGGTAAAGGGAGTTGTGTGTTGACGGCTCTTTTTTGTTTTGAGAAGAACTTTGGAGGCGGTTGTGCCAAATTAATAACATTTTCTGGTTTGTCATTGAATTTTGAAACTTCGCATGACTCTGCTTTTTCGATGATGTTTTCGTTGATTTCTTCGAGTTTTTCAAACTGTTCGCTTTTGTGAGATTTTGTGATTCTCCCAGATTGTTTTTGGTGGAATGGCACGGAATTTGGGGAAGCAATTGGAGAACAATAAGAGTGTTGCACTGCTACTCTTTCTGGTGGCGTTTTATAGAATATCGCATCTCGATCCCCTCTCGACTTAATTAAATCGTCTTTTGATGTTGCTTTTAAAAACAGCCCACCCTCACGTTTCTTAGGCACAGCCCGTGGTTTAGGAATCGATGGGGAGTTCGTTTCGAGTTGTTGGAGTTGTGTATAATTCTGTTTCGGGTAAATGACGTCAATTCGTTCCAAAGTGATCGGGGGAGATTTTGATGGGATAAAATAACGGCTCATAGTAACGGTAATTTGGCTGATTGATTATCGAGTTTTTTACAAAGAATGATGAAACCAATTTCATAGGAAAATATTTGGTTCAGGAACTCGGCGTTTTAGTGTTGTTTTGGTGCATCGTTTCTAATTTTCATTTTTACTAAAGTTTGTTTTTTTGATAAAAATAATTATTACATAAAATAATATGTTTGTTTTTCATTAAAAAAATTAGATGAAAAATGTTCTAACTTTGAAATGGAATTATTGTTTTATTTTATAATAGTTTTCGGTTTAGTTCGTATTTTCAACAACTATTTTTTTTATTTTTAGATTAATTCATAAGAATTTCAAAAATAAACTTTTGAAAAAAAAACCATAATTATAATTAATATAATAATTGTTAAATTGTTTCAATTTTTTGGAAACATATTATACAATTATAGTAAAAATATGAAAAATATAAAGATTTGGATAATATTACAAAAAAATAAAAATATCACTATTTCAAATAGAATCAATTAACTATTTAATTTCTAATCATTAACTATATTATTTTAAGCTATTTAATTTTATTAAATTTATTAATAGAGAATAAGAACCAAATTATTTTCATAAAAGAGTTGATTAACTTCACAATTCTCTCTCTTCAAATTTAATGGTCCACTCCTTTCCAATGTTCACCTCAGGTTTTCTTATCACAAAACCGTTCCCGTTCATTTGTTGAGTTCTGTATTCGTCGAAGAACAATTTTCTTTTTCCTTCTCTAAGACCTTGTGGCTGCTTCGCACCAACAACGACAATTTTAATGACATCGAGGTTGTTCGTGATTTGATCGCCCCCAACGTTTTCTACAACTTCACATTTAATTCCATTTTTGTCCATTCGAATAACACTTTTTATGTGATTTTCTTTAAAGGTTAATCCATCGTCATTATACAAAACACCCTCAGCCTTTCCGCTTTCATCCGCATAAAACACTAATGTGGTTGGGTCGTGTTTCATCAACTCGCTAGATCGTCTTCTCCTCTCTTTGATTGGAATTGCAGCACCTCCTCTGACAAATACTGGAATGCCGTCCATGTCGACTTTTTGATCGACAAATCCGCTTTTTGAAACTTCATAAGTCTTGTAGTCATACCATATTCCTTGTGGCAAGTATCTCTTGACACTACTTGCCCCGCTCTGGACAACCCCGACAACCAATAAATCCTTTCCAATCATAAATTCGTCTTCAACCTGGTCACAGTTTTGGTCTTCCGGGTAATTATAAAAAAGTGGTCTCATCAAAGCGGTCTTTTCTGTTCTCGAGAGGTAATACTCTCTATAATAGAAGTCGATTAATTCGTACCTCCTTTCAATCGATTCTTTTAATCTTCTTCGTGTTTCGCCCTCATACAAGTATGGCTCTCTTCGTTTTGTGTCCAAGTGCGCGTGTGCTCTAAAGAATGGGTAGAACGCTCCAACTTGGTACCATCTCACCAATAACTCTTCATCAGGATTTCGGAAAAACCCTCCAACATCTCCACCACTCTGAATAATACCAACCAAGTTCAAGTTCAGTGTCATATACACAGACATTTTCAAGTGCTCCCATGTCGAATCCGTGTCTCCAGTCCATACAGCGCCAAATTTCTGACTTCCTGCAAAGAAGCTTCTTGACAACACAAATGGTCGATCGACGTTTTTAGTTCTCTCAAGCAACCCTTTATACGTTGCTGCTTGATACGACAGCCCGTATATGTTATGGACGTCACGGTGTTCAAATGTGTTCTCTCCGTCTTGGTGAATATTGTCCTTCTGCATCGTTGTTTCCGGTCCGTTAAACACACTGGGCTCGTTCATGTCAATCCAAATCATCAAGTAAGGGGAAGAGTACTGATACTTCGAAAAGTCGTAGAGTGTCGCCCACCAGTCTCTAGCCTTTGGATTAATGAAATCGACATACGCGGCATTCCCACACCAACACCACCCGTTATATTCGCTATTTCCATCGCTTTTCTTGATCAAGAATTTCTGATCTTGTGCTTCTTTATAGACGTAATACGACGATGTTGTTTTGATGTGTGGGTCCACAATCGTGACAAGTCTTCTCTCCGTCTTTTTCAAATCATCAATCAACTTCGCTGGATCCGGAAATTGCGATTTCTTCCACGTGAAGTATTTCTTATCGTCGGTGTGTTCAATGTCCAGCCATAACACGTCAAATGGGATGTTTGCCTCATCCATCTTTTCAATGACTTCTTCCGCCTCGTTTTGACTCATATAGTTCCATCGGCACTGATGGTATGCCAACGAGTATTTTGGTACAAGTGGTGAGACGCCAGTCAAGTGCAAAAACTGTTTTTCTTGTTGCATAGGAGTTGGTCCGGGTAACAAATATTCGTCCAAAATTCCACTTTCGGAAACAAATCGAGTCTCTTGGTTGACGACGTTCACAAATGTTTCCGTTGGGTTATTATGGAAGACAGCTCCCGTATTACTTCCTAATGAGTATATAATAGGGACAGTCCCATATAAAGTCATTTCAGTATCAACCTCAAACTCAAAAACGTCAGTGTTGTATAACCGGTAAGGCTCATTGTATCCGGTGGAGTCCGTGTTCTTCAACAATACGTTGGTCGCATGATCGGGAATCCCGTACAAGTGCCGAGAATTCGGGAACTTGTATGTGATCGATACAAGTGAAGGGCCATGAGGCTTTTTGTCGGTGAAGCTTTTATATGTCTCCTCCCCTTCACCGTCAACGCCCTTTCCGCCCGTCTCAAATCTCAACTTGTCACCGGGAATCTCTAAAATCAAGGAACCGTCAAGAGTCAACTTCGCGTCAAGCGTCTTTTTCATGATTTCAAGACGACTGACGTGATCGTGAGATGAGAGTGAGTCGTCGGAATAAACGTTCTCAAGGGCAATGGAATTGGAAGAGTCAATGACTTTGATGGAAACTTCCTCAAGACCAGATTCAGTCACAGAAAGTCCAATCTCGGGTTCATAACGAGTGAACATCACACCACCTTCGGTGTGGCGCATAGACATGCGGAAAATACCATATTTAAGACCAGCAATGCGGAGGTCAAATTTGGAAACGTCTTTTGCGTTGGTGACGTGTAAAGTGACGGACGTTTTAGTTTGGTCTATTTTGGGACCAACTATAAATTTCTGAGCAAGTGCAACGTCGTTAGCTCGGCGACAAAAAGCGGTGTCTTTGCACTGCCGGAAGTTTGAACGAGTGACTGAAAGTGCGGTTGCCATGAAGAAAACGAGAAGAAAATACGACTTCATGGAATTTTGAGTTCTTATTGGATTAAATAAAAAAAAATATTTGATTGTGTGATTCCAACGAATCATAATGATACTATACATTTCTAGGACATTTGTTCTTCACAAAAAAATAAAATTAAAACTAAAAAACAAAAAACATTTTATGAACAAAGGATTTTTGTCAAAGAAAAGTTTTCACCCGGGAAAGCTGAGCAACCAGAAGAAAGTTTGGGAAGCCGAGCATAGACACGAAGAGGAATTAAAGAAGATCGAAACATTAAAACGTGAACATGCAGAGGAGGTTGAACGCGTTGAGGAAGAAAAGCGGAACGCTGAGGAGCGAGGGGAGGCGTATGTTGAGAAATTGAATTGGATGTATGATGCTCCAATGGGAGTTGACAGTGGAGTTATAGATGAGTCACAGACTGTCCAAACCCAAACACCAACGTGTATAATAGAACAGAGAGAGATCATTAAAAAAGTTGAGCATGATCCTTTGTATTTAACAAAGCGAAAAGAAGAAGCCGAATTAACAAAAGTACTTCGAAACACTGTTAAACTTCGTGAAATAGAAGAGAAGGAGATTCGAAGACAAGTCGCTCGCTTCTCTCACGAACGAAACAAACTGGAACTAGAAAAGATCAAATCAAAAATTTGGATCACCAGTGAACGTGGTAAAGTCGGGGAAGAGATTATTCGTGACAACGCAGTACTCTGGTCATGGTGGCGTGAGCAACTTCGTGATGAGCGTACATCTGAGATTCGTAAGAACAATTGATTGTGATTGAATAACATTTTAAAAAACAAAAAAATATAAGTGTTATTAAAAAAAAACATTTTGAATACCAAAAAAAAAGAAAATACACAATTAGAAGTCCAACACTTCGAATCCGCCAACTTCGCTGATGCTTGTTCTTAATTCCTTTTCATGAGAAATGTCGAACGTCTCCGTACAGAATTTTTCAAAAGCGTCGACCTCTTCGAGTGATTTTATTAAAAAGCCGAAGGTACAGAATTGGTCGATCTTATCGAGTTCAATTGAGTGAATAGCGAACCGATTGAGTGTGGGATTGATAGGGGCGTAACTTTTCAAATCGATTTTAGTGAAAGATTCTGCAGCTGGTTGTACTGTGTGTGGATCTAAGAAGAGACATCTCATGACGTGGAAACCGAAGATATAGACAGCTCTGTCGCCTATTCCACTGACTATTCCTGCGAACATATTGAATTTGTAGATCTGTTGGAGTCTACTCTTCACGAGTTGATCCATTATAATAGGTAAAAAGACTAAAGTAGGTTTGAACGGTTCTTTTTTAATATCGCACAGAGGAATTGAAGTGTTAGAAGCCATTACACAGCGGAGAGCACACATCTTCCAGGAGTTCACCAAATCGCTATGCATTACATTTGCTTCAGAAGACTCGAACAAAGAAATGAACAAACGAATAAGCTTTAGCAACAATAGTTGGTGCTAAGTAATTGACTCCAGACTTGTTTTGTTCGACGACGAATCTTGATTCGTAGACGTGATGAATAGAAAGTGGAGTTGTTTGTTCGAAGAAGTCCACAAAAGGGATGACGACGTTCAAAATTTCATTTTGTTTTGGGATGTATGGCGTAGTGGACGACGTCAAATCATGTTTGTACACTAACGTTTGCATCGCGTTGGATATCATCATTTGAACGGCTCGAATAGTACACCCCCACCCAACATCGGTATTTAATGACGAATTCGGTAATTTCTCATATCCAGAACGATAAGTCATCCATAATAAATTGCTCATGCGAACATAAGCAGCCATCGAACTATATTGAAGTAACGACGATTGTGGTAACTCTTGGGCTTGTTTTTTTAGAGGTGTTGTTTTGTACTCAATTCCTAAGAGAAAGAGTGGCGCCCCAGGAACAAAAACTGCAGGGTTCTGCGTGTCACCACCAAGTTTGTTATAAAACATACTCAACACATTGTACCCACTGTGCTGGAATAACTTGCCCAGTGATGACATCAATTTTCTAGTTGAAAATTGAGTTCTCTGTCGCTTTCTTTTTTAAAGGACTGGACTCTTCGACATTGGATGGATTCTTTTCGTATAGTAAATAAATATTATGGGGATACTATTCTCCAATATTTTTTTTTTTTTTGGATTTGAAGTAACTATCGGTATAAATTATTTAATAATTGGTGTAACTATATTTATTATTGTTTAAATATATAAAAATTGCATGGACTTTATTTCGTGTTTTCATAGCCTTTTATAAACTATACTTAATAACACTTAAATTATATAATTAAACACAAAACCAATAATTATAATAAAAATTATAATAAAATATATAATAAAATATATAATAAAAATTATAATAAAAATTATAATAAAATATATAATAAAATATATAATAAAATATATAATAATAAACTAGTTCATAAAGAAAAAAGTCACAGAAAAAAACCCGAAATGACTCGACATCTCACTTCTTAGTCAAGTCCTATCGAGACGAATAAAACTTCAAGAGAAAACTGTGAAAAAGGCAAAAAAGAGAGCAAAGAACTTGAAAATCACATGGAGGCACTCCTCTCAGAATTTCACAAGACTGAAACTGACAAAAAGTCCATTGGGCGTATGGTCACCCCATCCGTCCCATTATCTCTTCCCCTCGAACTGACTCGTCACAAAAAAGGGACCACAACATTAGCCATGATCATTAAAGAAGGTATTGTAGTAGCCGTTGATTCTCGCGCGACGCGTGGCGCTTTCATTTCTTCTCAAAGTGTTCAGAAGTACATTCCAATCACTTCGCACATAGTTGGGACGATGGCTGGTGGAGCAGCCGATTGTTCGTATTGGGAGCGTGAGTTGACTCGCCGGTGCCGACTTTTTGAATTAAGGAATCGCCCGCCCATTTCCGTCGCTGCCGCATCGAAGATCTTTGCGAACATTTTGTATCACTACAAAAATTATGACCTTAGTGTGGGGTCGATGATTAGTGGGTTTGATAAGACTGGGCCTCACATTTATTATGTTGAGGATGGTGGAGTACGTATACCTGGGAATATCTTTTCTGTTGGTTCAGGGTCTCCATTTGCAGTGTCAGTGATTGACACTGAGTATGACTATAACATGGGCAAGGAAAAAGCAATTGAATTAGCTCGAAGAGCTATATTCCACGCTACACATCGAGATGTTGCGTCGGGTGGGAATGTCAATGGTTTGTTTTTTCTTAACTTTGTGATACAGTGAGAGACTGACATGTAGTACTTTTCATCGACCAAAACGGATGGAAGCTCATTTCGAGAAACGACTGCTACGACTTGTACTACGACAGATTTAATATTGAAGAGTACCAAAAGCATAAGCCAATGGACGAAGACTAATCCAACTTTTTTATTATGAATTAGTTTGAACTCATTACATCATTAGTATCTATTATTTGGACGAAGTGTGAAGAGAACAAATGGTGACACAAAATCAATTAGAAGTAAGCTTTCTCAACTTGTTCGTGAATCGAATAAGTTGGCAGGACGTAAGACTGTGATGGTTTGTCAAAATCGTCGTTCAAAGTCATGTCCTCGTCAGTCCCCATCACAAGGTCTTTTGCCATACTTGCCGTTTTAAGGCCTGGAAGTCTATTTGGCTATTGATGAGGAATCATTGAATAAATGGATAATTTATACTATAGTTATACTATATAATATAGTATAAGGACACATAAAAGAAGTCAAAGAACAAACAAAAGAAAAGATCGCCTTCTCAAGTTGGTATTGTTCATAAAAAGAAGGCCCAAGTTGTTGAGGGAAGTACTCGGTATTGATTTTTTCGTTTTCTTTGAGAGATTGTGTCAAATCGAGATAATCGTCCTATCACTGAGTATAAAATTGTCTGAAGAGTACAAAACAAACAGTCACTTCATTTTTATGAAGAGGCTCTTTAAAAACTCGAACATCTTGACATTCAAGAGTTTGACTCAATTCCTCCATCACTTTCTTATTTTCGAGTTTCCTCTTGAATTATTTCTTTTTTGTCATTTTTTGTGGAAGAAAAAACAAAAAAAAATAATAATATATAATATAATAATAATAATAATAATAATAATAATAATAATAATATAATAATATAATAATAATATAATAATATAATAATAATGATAACAAAAAAAAATAAACTTACTAATTGTGTGAAAAAGTTTAAAAAATATTTGGTAGTATACTTATGGTTATAATACTATAATTTTATTATAAAAAAAAAGATAAAGATGTATAGTAAATTAACTAGAAAATATTCATTCACAGAAAGCTAGTAATTATAATAGAACAAACTATAAAACAACTAAATTACAAACAGCAAGAACACATCGAATTCTTCAAGAAATTCTTTAAAAAAAGACACAGGGAAGAGCACATTTCTTCTTTCCTTTCTTTTTGTCGACTTTAAATACCTTTTCGACTTTTTGTGAAAATTGTGGAGACACATAAGGCTCATAGACCAAGTCGTCGAACAGCGTATTTACGGCCTCGATGTCATTTGCGTCACACACAAAAGCATCGAACCCCTTCTCACGAACTCTTTCGATGAAGGCATTTGCGACTTGTGGCTTAACCAAATCTTTTCTCGTCGCGACGAACACAAAAGGAAGACCGAATCTGACGGACAAAGATGACCCCGTTGACCCACAACTTGATGTGCTTTTGTTTGCGCTGAGTCGATTGAGTTCTTTAAGAACGATTTCTATTTCTTCATACACCTCTTTTTTAGTCAAGTCAACGATATAGAGTAAACAAGAGACTGTGGAATTAAAGATAGTAGTTAATGCCTCTGAAAGTGATATCCCCGGTGTGTCTAATACTTCAATGTTCACTATGTCTTCATCATCTTCAAACCTTACAACGTCATATGTATTAAAGGAAGTGCTTGTGTATGTGGTCTTGGGGACTTGCTGCGTCAGTGAAGTAAAAATAGAAGACTTCCCTGAACACACTTTCCCTATCAAAGCAAAAGAATATGACTTGTACGTTCGCATGGGGGTGAGATGATTTGGGTTATACAGTTGTGGTAAGAATTCTTGTGGAAATCATTGAAAGAAATTTCCCGCTATTGTCCACATTCTTATCGTATCGGTAAGGGTTTTTATTTTTTGCATTTTTAACAAATCGGGTTTTGAAAACTCTGAAAAATTCTCACTACCCTCGTTGTGCTATTCTGTTTCTTTTTGTTGTTTTTTTTAATATTTTTTAAGGAGATTTTACAACAAAAACACGGGTGTTTAAGAGAAAGTTGTTTTTTTGTACTGATCATTTTAAAACGCACTCATATCTTCTGAAAAAAATATTATTTGTTAATAATTTCTTTTTTATAATTTAATAGTTTATCATTCTGTTTTGGTAATTATTAATCTTCATGTTTTTTTTTCAACGAATATTTGCTGTTCTTGGAAGATCCATATATAATGAATTCTAATATTAGAATTAAGTAATTATTATTATCCCGATATTTTTACATTAAATTGATTTATATTACCTAAAAATTCGGGAAGAATTATATAAATAAAACATTTTAAAATAGTTTGCCATTACAGTAGGGGGAAATAAGGGGATGCAAGAAAAAGTCAGATGCTCGCAACTATTGGTTATTTTTCAAACAAAAAATAATATGTACAAAAAATGAATATTCTTAATACTTCTAAAAGTTTGATTGATTTATAGTATTTTTATTATTATAACAAAAAAATTAAATCACAACATTCGTTTTTGTTGTTGAACAGTTAATTGTTCATATCTTTCATTTTTGATAAATTCTTATTTATTAATTTTTAAATGTATATTGATGTTGACTTGACGAATGACAACTCTCCCAAGACGTTATAAGTTATATGTTTAATGTTTATTTTCAATACTATCATAACCATATAGCACAATGAATAAATAATTATATGCATTGATATAAGCAGACATAAAAAACTATCGGCTGTTATGCTAAATAAAAAGTAGTAAGAAATAAAACAAGTTTAAACAATCATTTAGTCTGTAGTCAACACACAACACCATTCCACAATGGAAACGGTGTGAATTTATATTTTGGAATGATTTGGAGAAGTAAGCTTGGACATCACCTTGAATTTTAAAACCATACCGCCTCTTCCAAACAAATCATATTTTATAAGTTTGTAGAAGCGTCAATTGAGTTCTTTTACTTCCATTATTCTCATGTAATACTATCATTTTCCCTCCACTTTCTCTGTTCTATGTTTTAGTTGATGTGGATGTATAATTGAATATATCTTTCATTAATAAAATAGACCCAACACTTGAATAATCTCTTTAAAAGCACAAACGGGTGATATTGTTGTTCAATTTGATAATAACAGTTCTGAGTTTCAACTTCATTTATTAGTTTGTTAAAATATTTAAATAAAATATAGTAAATATTTAGTTTTAATTTAAGACCCGCATCCCACTTATATTACTATTTATATAATTACTATAAATTTTAATATAAATAATCATTAAAATAATTAATAAAATGAAAAACACCAAAACAAATTTATATTTAGATTAGCATCCGCCTTTTTCTCAGCATCCGACTTTTTATCTTGACTGTACTTTTGTAAATAATTTTGTGAAAATATTTCATTGACTAAACAAATAAATAAAACGGTTTTTATTTTTTCAGTTCGATCTGAAAAGTATTTAAACTAGATAAATTTAATTAATTTATTATATTTATATACATTTTTGTTTAATATTTTTTTATTGCAAAAAACAATTTAAAACTGAAATTCAATTTTTTGAAAAAAAATTAAAAACATATTTTTTGCTTTGTAATTTTTTAAAATAATATTATAATAATATTAAATTTTATACTCAATGAATTTACCATAATTTAATTATGTTTATATTAAAAACAATAATGCATAAACTTTAAATTAGTTGTAATAAACTATTATATAATATAATCTTACACATTTTTTGGATTAAAAATGTTAATATTAATAATTTGAAAAAACCATTAAAATTTATAATTTCTGATTTACAAATTTCTTAAAAAGAATCAAAAAAAACTAAAATTTATAATATGATTTTTGCAGTTCTTTTTCTTGTATTTGCCGCTCTTGCGACCTCTCCAAACGCCGATCCAGTTGTTCTTGATCTTTTCATGGAAAAGTCTACTGGTGATAAACCGACAAGTTACCCGTTTATGTTGGAAAGTCTCATGATACTTGCGAAAAAGAAAATAAAATATGGATGGATCAAAAAAGCGAAATGATCGTTAATACCAAAAACTCGTTAAATATTAAAATCATCTTTTTTGTTTTTTTATTTGTAACATTTTGAGATGCCTCTTTTCATTCCGTCATATTTCCTTATTATGTCCAATTGTTTTGGCTCTCAAATGAAAACGAGTTTTATTTTAGTTTTGTAATTTCAAGTTTCATTTATATTTTATTTTTTCAAACTAATTTTTTTTAATACAACAAATAATCCCGAATTGTTAGGTTGTTTTATCATATTTATTTTTCATTTCGACCAAATGTTGTTATGATTTGAAAGAATTGGTAGATCGTGAAAACAATCTGAGTTCCTTTTTAGTTTTCATTTTTTCTTTTTTTTAATGAAAATTGCCTTTCATATGGCATCTGATTCTGTATGTTTTTTTTCAGTGTAGTTTCAATTGATTGTGGTAAAATGTATCAATAGTTGCTTTGTCACTTGTTGCCTTTTCCGACTGATTAAAGAAGAAACGTTGCAATATAATAAAAAAAACTACAATTAAACTATTTCCAAATCAAGAGACGATCTTTTTCTGTTTTTTTCTTTTTCAATTTTCATCGATTGTCTTTATTCGGTAGTTCATTTATAGTATGGTTTGTTATACATTAAACTATATTTACATTAAAGTGGTCAATTGACAGTCATGGACAAAATCGCAAGACAATAACCAAAGATCCACAAAATGAGAACTTATTCCTGTAATTAAATAAACTATATTACCAAATCTTGCGAAACGGCTGTGAAAAAAAGAGGCATTTATTCCCATAGGCGCAGAAATTTACCCAAAAAGTATTTATAGAACACTACTTGTCGATAGACGTGTATTTAAATAAACTGGAAATATTAAACGCGCCTATCTCACTCATGAGTCAACAATTGAAAGACACTTTCAGCTTGATCGACACGAACAACGACGGGATCATCACTTTCACCGACTTTGTCGATTCATCAAGAATGTATAACGTTGATCAGGTCAAGCTTAGACTCGTCTTCGACGCAATGGACACCTTCCACACTGGAAATGTTTCATTCGAACGCTACGCTGAATTTTGTTCTTTGTAAGTAAATATATATGTTTATTTTGATATTTAAATACATCGATAGATACTCCATAACCATTTTCTATTTCAAAAAACTAACGCAATTTGTATGCGGCATTTTTATACATTTTCATACTTTTAGAGTGGAATTATTATGACTTTTATCACTTTTATTATTCTTTTGCTTTACCTCTCATTTATTTCAAATAAGGGTGATATCTCACTTCTCACTATTATTTGTTATACTAAATTTGTTAATTCATTTATTATAAATTTATTATTGTAATAACAGTAATGCTTGGATATATTAATTAAATTCAAAACTATACTTTATTATTTATTTAAATTATTCTCTTATAAAGAAACAAATTAATTAATTCTATTAAATTATTAATTTATACATTATTAAACTATTTTATTTTTATTTTTTTAATGAGTTATTTTATTAATATTTCTTCTATTATTAACTATAACCAGTTTAAGTGATAATAAAATAGTAAATTAATTAATATTCATTAGTAAAATCTTTTTTGTTATTCCAATAATTAAACAAGAAAAAGAACTTTTTGTGTATTAAAAATTGTAACTCGAAAAATTCAGAATGAACTGCTCACCAACGTTTTTTTTTGTATATTTTACACGACTATATTTACCAATAGAGTCATTTCCCTATTTCATACTGCAATTGACAACAAAGATGCTTCGATGTTAGCTCAATTATGCAGACAATTTGGAATGATCAACACTCTTCGCTCTAATATCTGGCGTATTTTGTTGAAGGTGAAGCCAATCAAGTTACCCAATCCACTTCATCTCACTGTAGTAGAAGCAGATGTCCCACCACTTGTCAACAATTTGATATCGTGCATCAACCAAACGAAGCGCACTGAATTAATTAAAGACTCATACACTATAGCTACTTCATTGGTTCAACCCAAAACATCTCCAAACTTCATTCCAACGGTAGTTATAGCACTTGTCTTCTATTATTTATATCCGGAAGAGTCTGTAGAATTTCGGTTGGGTGCTGTGTTCTCATTTTTGAATACCCTTCAGCCGTATTTCTCACATTTGTACCCTTCCATCCAAAAAGGACTGTACTGTTTAATGCACATCCTTTTACAATACCACGACCCACAACTGTGTTACTGTTTGGACTCTTTTAGAGTCGAGTCGGTCTTTTACACTCCACGATTTTTGTACGGCGCTCTCTTCCCGACAGGAGAGACTATTGGAGACATTTTAATTCTTTGGGACGAGTTCATATTGAACCCCAATAAGCACATCTTCTACTTTGCAGTCATCGCCTATTTGATGCAAATTAGAGACGATATCATGAAAGAGACTAAGAAGAACGAATTGATCACACTTATTAAGACTAAGAGAATCACTTCGGAGCAAATCCGGATTGTGATCTGTCGAGCTAATGCACTCGAACAAGACACGTTGACGTCTTTTAAACTGTTACTTCATTCCTGTTTCTATAATGAAGTGATGTTCCAGAGATGGTACTCACAGTCTTTGGGGTCGACTTTGGCACTCCCAGTCGAGCCAACATCACTTCTTGCCGATATCGTTTGTCAATACTATTCAATACTAGTAAATGAATTATTAATAAACTATATACAGAAAGATAGATTAACAGAGTAGAAAGGAGGGATGGACGTCCTTTTCATCGACTGTCGGACGCAAGAAATGTTTCGCGGGGGGAATATAGGGAATGCAATTCATTTTGACACGACCCGTCGGGAAGACGAGAATTACGTGAAGTCTTTTTTTGAGCAGAAATTGATTCAAAATGTGATGGAACACAAGAAGAACATTCACGTAGTTATTTATGGGTCTGGGGAAGTCGGGAAGAACACTCAACAAACGCCGACGTTGAGTGAGTTGACGATGATCATGTTAGACTTTATTAAACGTGGGATGAAACATTTAGGGGTGTTATTAAGTGGATACTTCTTATATCATAAGAATGCGATGGCAAAGGTGAATGGCTTTGAAATCTTTAATCATACCCCAAATTTGTGTCCCGTTTGTACTCCCCCAGAACTCGCGAAATTACAAACAAAATTAACATCCTTGGGAGAATCAACTAAACGATTTGCTACAGACTTCTTCTATGGACTGTCTACAAGACACCCTAACCCTAATTCCTCAAAAAAAAGCGTCAACCCTCCTCAACCAGTAGAGAAAAGAACATTCACACCGATTAGAAATGAACCAAATAAGACAGAGAAAGGCAATGGAAATGGTAATGACAGCGAAGAAAAAGTTTTAAAACAACAAATGAAGTGCGAACCAAATAAAACCGGATTGAGGTCGTCACAACGGATTGGAAGCCAAACGCAATTACAACAAAATCAAATACCAAATTTACTCGACTTGGGACTTGAAACAATAACGGACCCTTCATCTAATGCGCAATCACAAAGCGCATCTTTAAATACTTCAGATAATTTACCAATTAAGCCACTGAGCCAAGAAAAGATGCCGATTAAGCCATTGACTTTGAGTGACACAGATGGCGACAACGAACATAAATTGAAGTTAACATTTGACGAAGAGTATAATGAAGATGACGAGGACAATGAGCATGCAAATTATTTTGATGAATTGATGAAAGAAAGTCCGACATTTGAGGCCGATTATAATGTCGCGAGTAGTGAGTCCGTTGACTGTTGGAAACATTGTTTGATTATCATGAGTTCAGTCGATATGTTGATCACTGAGAAACCGTCGGGCGACGGCGAAATGTTTTTACTCGAGGAAATCACTTACACCGACATCGACAAGGTCTCGACGCGAGTCCAAGCAGCAGACGTATTTATAATAGAAGTGACTGGAAAGAGAGTAGTCGTCAAAGTAGCACACTCTAAAGAGTTTCTCGACTTACTCAATACTAAGATGGCCCTTGACAATTGATCATTTTATACACTTTGCGTTGAAGACAAATTCTATATTTATAATAAATTTATAATAAAAATACTCGATTCACCAACCCTTTGAAAGAATAGTAAAAAGTAACTAAAAAAAATAGATAAATCAGATGATTCAAGTGACAAGTGAGATTGACAAAGTGATTGCGTCCCTGGACACGGGATTGCCTGATATCACGCCAATAGACTTGAAAGTGATATCACATATAGATACGACTTTTCCTTTGTTTAAATCGGAGTTTGTGCTCAACAAACTGTACCGAGGAAAAAGAGAAGAAAATGACGTGTCGTGCACAAATCAATTATTGAAGTTAAAAGAACTTCAAACTCGAAAGAAAAGGTATGAGAAAGAGAGGGGGATCGGCATTGAGATGAATACCGCTATGAACTTCACTATGGGGAACGGGAATTCGATGTTTGAGAGCTTTAATGAGAGTTGCAATGATGCGAAACAAGCTATAGTTGAGTGTAATACTTTTGAGCCTAAAAGCCATCCACCTCAAAAAGCGAAGAAAGAGAAAAGGAATGAATTTACATCTTCTGAAGATTTGTCCGAGTCGACAGATGAATCGGAAGGCGACGAAATCATCATTCCACCAGATTTCCCGAAATCCGTACCTATCGGATCTCAAATAACACCAACTGCAACAAATAACATTGGAGAGTCTTATTTATCTCAGACAGGTACTACAACTCAGAACGGGAATAAGAGTAATGCACCACTATTAGAAGACAACCCATTTGTATTCCACCACAATACTACAACTCAATCAATGAAGGGAGGCGATTTGTACTCAGGAATGTTATTGTCTGGTATCACAAAGTCGGAACAAACTGAAGTGAAAGAAGATGACATAACAGAAAAGCCACCCGTATTCACGTTTAAGACAAACTTGTTTGGAAAACCACCTTCAAAAGATGAAGAAAAGAAGAAAGAACCAACAAAGGAAGAAACACAAGAGGAAAAGAAAGAGGAAAAACCAAGTTTACAAGAAGAGAATACTGAGAGTTTGTTTGGTAATGTAACACTCAAATTTAAAGACAAATCTGAATATTGTAAACAAACGGTCGAAAACCCATTCATTTTTAATCCTACCGTGTTCTTGCCTGAAAGTGGATCACTTAATAGTAAACCAGTCGAAGAGAAGAAAGAACTTTCTTCTCAGAACAATGAACCATCACCTCAAAAAGAAAAGAAAGACCTCTTCCCTCAACAGCAGAAGGATATACAGTCGTCCGTGGATGAAAAAAAAACACTATTTACTCAACAAAATGATGTACAACCACATGAAGAAGAGACGAACCCATCACCTCAACAACAGAAAGAGGTACAACCACATGAGAAAGAAAGGAATGACCTCTTCGTGAAACTTGTGATGGACACAGCCATGTATTATGGGGATGCAGAGAAGATTAATAATTATCAAGAATGCGTCAAAGCAATTAACAAACTTCCAGAAATTAAATTGAGTCAGAGCGAATTGGATGAAATAGCAGTGCTTGGAAATAGTGTAGTGCAGAACTTTGGAGAACTTGAAGGTGTTGTTCAAAAAGTAGTTGACAAGTGTGCAGATAGAGATTCTAACGAAACACTTGAGATCTTGACTTACTTCTTACGATGTTTAATATCATCATCCCATTTACTTAAAACTGACCCCAAAACAGCGTTTTACAGTGGATTTATGTTGTCCGAACTTTCATACAAATGCAAGGCGTTCAGAGATATAGTTCAACTGATACTACGAAGTGTCTCGCCATGCTTAAATTCTGTTTATGTAAAGAATGAGGGAAACGATTATAAGGTAGTGATGGGGTACTTGAATGACGAGAACGAGTTACAGTATATCGAGCGGATTGAGAAGATATTTAGAATATACTTGTGCTTCATGATGAGCGAAGCGGGGAATGTCGAGAGTATATTTGATGTCATGATGACTTCAATGTACATGGTTTATGATAACAAGATAAAGATTGGGATGAACGTAGATGTCTTTGGGGTGATGCTCGACGCATTTTTTGATATGTGTTACGATCGGTTAAAACACTTAGAACTGATGAACTCTTTTATTGAGACGTTTAAAGACTATTTCGAAATCATGAAAACCGTTTGGGGGACCGAAGGAAACGACAAACAAAAGATGCTGACTCGACGACTCGCTTCGACTTTAAAGAAGATCGAGCAGAATAAAGTCGTCAACGAAAAGTCGTTAGTTCTTGAAGAAGAGTATAAGAAGTACTTGGAAGCAAACAATAGACAGCCACGGGTGTGGGAAGGGGCAATCGACATTAATAGTAAGTAATCTATTAGTTTTCTATTTATATAGTTTTCAAAGAAGTACTGATATACTATACTCTATTAATAGAGAATACTATAATTTTAACTATACTATTCATACAAACTTAATTAACCGTTTACACTAATCCATAAGGTACTGCCAAGATACTCTGTGTGTTTGTCACGTATGAATGTGTAACAGTTTCTTTCTTGGCAGGTGTCACTGTGTCAAATGAGTCGTTCCGAATTCCTAATTCAGCACATAGACTGTTTCTTCGCTGGACAAAGATTTCTGGGTTGATCAAATTGGTGGCGTTTGAGACTGACATATCCAGTCTTTTCATTCAGGTCTTTTCAACACTTCGATCACGAAGATACGGAAATTCGAACAATTCCTTTTCATATGGAATCACTAATTGCAATTCGTTTTGTCAACTGTGATTTCTTCTCAATCACACCATATAAGTTATTTATTTTAATTACATTATTATTCATTTACTATACAAATTATTTCAAAAAAAATACGAATCTCAGAGAAGAGTTGTTCTCTCTTTTAAAAACTTGAAATGAATCAACTCACCAAAACTCTTCGACGGAATGAAAGGACACTTAAGGCCAAAAAATTACACAAAACATAATACGATTAATCAAACATACGCTGGACGTTGTGTTTGAAAAATTTCGGGACAAGTGATTTTGACATGAAATTTGTATCATTAGCTCTTCCTTTTTGTTTTTCTTCTTCGACTTCTTTTCGGATCAATAGAATGTCAGGGTTACTTTCTGTCACCAAAAAATGGCGATCACCAACACCATTGTATGTCACTTTCCTGACGCCTTCGTTAATACCAAGAGCAACAAGAGTCGACTGCGCACCAGCGCCTCCAAGCCTCTCTCCCAAAAACTTGCGTTCTCGTCTTTTCCAATTTGCGTCCTTGTGGATTTCACTTTCTTTGTTGAATCGGTTTAATAAGGTGCTTGCCTCCATCATCGAAAACTCGAGAATGCCGACGTTGACAAATTGGATGATAATATCAAATGGATATTTCTCGAAAAATTGGACATTGATATCGCAGTATCCGTCTTCTTTTTCGAGACCAATTTCTTTCATGACGCCATTCATTGCACCATTGAAAATCACCGTCTCGAATAATTTCTGTTGTTGTGTCATCCCTTCTATTCTCTTCGTAAACTCGTCTTGGATCTTCGAGAGAATCGTTTCAACAACATTCAAATAGCTTTCTGCGAGCGTCCGTAATTTGTCACCTTTTGCTTTTAATAGTGCTTGTAACACTAAAACAGCTCGTGTTTTCCATTCTTCTTTACCGACTCCATTTGGTCCAACAACACTTTTCATGTACGGAAACACATTCATAAAATCGCTCTTCGAATATTTTTCAAGGTCAGTAGGAAATGGTATTGGCTTCAAATCAAGGTCTATAACGGTTTTGGTCACCAACGTCTCTAGCAACGGATTGTCATCTAACAACAGTCTTCTCCCGATATCCGTGAGTATATTGAGCATCACACTTTCTTTAGTTATTACCGAAAAGTCGATATGTAACAACCTCATGTTCTTCAAAAGACCTTCCGGATAGAACCCCCGTGTTAAAAAGGTCAAGTCGATCATCGGTGATATTCTCTGGACAAACCCATCAATTCCTATTTTGACCATTCTCAACTCGACATCCTTCGTGTCGATAGTTAATATCCCCATCTTACCATTACCTTGTTTAATATCAGTAATACTTGTCAGCATTTGCAATTCGTCTGTTTTAGTAATGAGTGTGAATGTTTGGTTATTCACTGTATTATACACGATAACCTCTTCCGCTTTAATTATATAAAACATCCCAAACCCATAATATACATTCATGAAACTCCCTTCACTTTTTTGCTCAAACAAACACTCGGCTCGGTCTTCGTAGAACCGAAGTAACACGCAGTAGTCTCTACTCAAGCACATCAAATACAAGTAACTGTTAATAACTTTTTCCATCATCACGGGACCCATTGCGATTCGATTCCAGTTCCCCTTTTCTTTCGGGACGGAGAGTGGAAATCCAAATTTCTCGATTCCAAGAAAACACGCGTTCTCCAGTTCAGAGCTGAGACATTTGACATTTTGCGACGAGTTGTATTGTTCCATCACAGCAAGAAAATGCCCAAAATACTCACTTTTTATATTAAGTGGTCGACTAGGGCCATTTGTGGCGCCAACGGTGAATCGGAGTGTCATCGAAGTCGAGAAGACATACAGCGAATTGCTGAATATGGAGAGATCAACAACATGACTTTCTGGTTTCGAGTTGAATGTGACGACTTTATATCTATGAGGATCTCTCTTGTTCATTGTGAGCATTTTCATCCAGTTCACCGAGTAGATATAAAACACATTGTTTTGGTCATCCCCGCCATACACAATTTTGATGTGGTCAGTGATCAGTGGGTCTCTCAAATCAATTTCAAAGGCCTCATACACACTTTTGGTTCCACTACAGAACAAAGCAAAGCGTTTATCAAAGCGTAAGACATAGATGATGTTATCTCGATCCTTCGTCCAAGCAACAGAGACCAATTTAAAGTTCTCATTGAATGTCGACCGGAATTTCTCGCCTTCCATTTTCATTTTCAACGGTTGGAAGAAAAAGTGCAATTGATGTTTCCCCGTTTTCAGTGATCTCTTGTTCGCATAGAACATCGTCATGTCTTGTTGCGACACTGCGCTTTGAAAAAAGTGAATGATATAGTTCAATTCATTAACACAGTTGTTATCTTTAGGCAATGCGTCGAAGACAGTTTGGACATAATTCACTGGAGACTCGGGCTGTGATACAAAGAAAGGACTTGACATAATTTATGAGTTCCACACATGGTGAAATACTATAGTTTTATAATAATATTATTATTTTTTTTAAATAATAAGAAACTATTATAAATGATATTCAAATTACTATAATTAATAGTATACGAGTATTATAGTATACTATTTATAATAATAGCACAACTTTAAAAAGAAAACTTAATTAATAGAATAATAATAGTATTTGTATAGTTTATTTCAAAGAATGATAAAACTAATAATTATACTATAAAGAATAGAAAGGAAATAGTTTCATAAACCAATTATAAGAACAACGTCAAGTTTTCTTCACAAGTAATTAAAAAGACCCCATCGTAATTGGCTAAAGTGACATAAACATTATCACCACTCTTTTTCATGTTACTAATTGTACTATTCAGAAGACCACCACTTTGTTTGTCACTCTTAACAAAGAAGTAATTCTTCGACTCAACGATTTTTGTCTTGTCATTCACTTGAAATTCATAAATGACACCGATGTACTCCGTTGTACTTCTCCCAAGTTTAACTGCTTTTCTGACATTGTCATGGATCCAAGCGTTTGGTGCAGCGACGTAAATGTGTGGGTTTTGTTCGTCACTGGTGACTGCGAGGAACTCCCCAAACGATTGAAAGTTACCCCACCGTGGAAATGGTTGCATGACAACAGAAAAATTAAGCGCATCATCCTTTCTAGAGAAAGCAAAGACAACACCTTTTTCTGAAGATGGGTCACTGAATAAAATGAAGTCTTTTGATATTTCAACGGCTTGTCCCAAATCAAATAAATTGTTTTTAGAAGGAGGGATAAAGATCGGAGGACTCACAGAGAGAGGAAGTGTTGGTCTATCTATATCAATCAATTTTTGGACGTACACGTTCTTTGAGAAATCAAAAATATTGCCGTCTCGCGCTTGTGGACTGCCAGCGACAAAAGTGTCTTCATAAGCTTCTAGTCTAATTAAATTTGTTGGGGATATAGTTTGTAAATAGGAGGTATCATTATAATCATATTTCATATAAATAGAACTCGACTCAATTCGAACTAAACCAAAGATGACAGAGCCTGTTAGTCCTTTGGCATAATCCACTGTTATTGCTATCATCAAACCAAATTCCCCCTTTTTCGATTGAACAAGTCGCATGTCTCTTCCCACATTACTAAATTTGGTCTTTACTTTATCAGGACCAGTGTCGTTCATTAAAACATATATCAAATTCGCTGGATATGATTCAGACAACGTTTCATTGTCTCGAAAAATTTGAACGTCAATGTTTTGCTTCAACTCATCTAAGTAAGTTTCTTCCGGGACTTGGCGAACACCCATTGTTGCCGCATTGTCGATACCATTCCAGACATACCTATTTGGAAAACATTTTGAGGAGCTTCTCGATTTAGTAGAGTGAAAATAGTAACACCATTCTGTGGTCTTATCTAATGATTAGTATCTTACTTTAACTGATTGAAATAAGTAAAATGGAGTCAAACTGATTTCAACTATAATACCATTGTTCGCATGAAACATATTCGTTGGTATCTGTCCTTCTGTCTCAAAAGCTTTGTTCTTGACTAAACAGATGTTCAACTCTTCTTGTGAATTGACAACTGTTATAAGTAGAAGTGATGTGAGTAACATACAACTAACCATTATGAGATGGTTTTGTGTGATAAAACATTTAGAAAATTGTTTAAGAGACCTGCTGTGACGAACAAATATAAGAATGGATTATCAATACAGCTTTGTATCATGAAACCAACTTTTTGGTAGTTTACAACTTTTGTTTTCTTTGCTTATTTTTATTTATTTGTGAAATAATATCTAAGTTTTGATATTTCCATCCTATATTGTATGAATAATAGTATTATAACTAATTGTATTCTTTATAATTTGCATTTTAATTATGAAAAGTATCATTATAAATATCAATTTTTATTGAATTTATCATTTTTTTAATAAATTTATTTCAAATAAAGATTAAACAAAAACTACAGTCATACGAAAAAGTTGTCGCGTTTGGAAAAACCTGTCTCTGGTGGTAATGAACTATTCTAGTACTATAAACAAATGATCTGAAATAGAAAATGTTATTTGGAAATGCCGAATATTTTTATTCGATTTTTGTGAAATGACCCTGCAAATAAATCGAATAGAAGCTATACTGTATAGTAAGTAATTATAAATTTACTATAAAATATTTTTTCAAGACAGGTTTTTCCAAACGCGACAGCTTTTTCGCATGACTGTATATTTAATTGTATTTTTATTATACATTATAATTGATAATATATCGGATTTTTTTGAATTAAAAATAGAAGTATACAAATAAACTACCGATATTTTTACTATACGAAAAGTTGAATAGTAAAACAATAGGAGCCAGTCTTTCAACTTAATTTGGTGGCCAAAAAATAGATATAATTTTATGTAAACATCGGGCGTTAAAAATTTAGAAAAACCCAAAAAATTGGGATATATTTTTAGGGTGGCTTCCCCAAATATTTCTTTTTTAATGGTTCAACAAATACTGGATAGCATTTAAAGACTTATTTTATAGTAAATGAATAATTAAAAGAAAAACGATAAAAATAGTTATGCTACTTATATAATTCAATAATTGTTTTCTTTTTAATTACTTTATAAAAGTCTTAAAAAGGTGTCTCTTTAAATAATGACTCCAACCTTTCGTTACTTTCGGGAAACAATCAGACCAGCAAATGAGTTATTTTTTTGACAATAAATTAATAATTCAAAGAGGTAACCAGACTTTAATAAAATGTCTAATACTCATAGAAATTTGTTCAATTATTATTTTTTAATAACCAACTTTAAATACCATCTGATTTGTATACAAATAATAGAAAATGCGGATATGAAACACACGATATATTTAGAATTTGTCTGTGGCTCTTATGATGATGAAAAACGTGTAAGATTTATTACCAAGGGAATCTTAAGTCCTCATTTCAAAATGCTCAAACTCCCTCACCATCCTTTTGTCGACGAAACAATGTCACCTGTCGAGCACCATTACACGAGTATTTGTGAGGATGTCATTCTCTCAAAAGAAGTGATTGAGCGTGCAACATTTGAAAATGCAATAACTCCATCAATCTCCAATAAGAAAAGAGTCGAGTCGAAACCGTTTAAATGCGATGATAAGACGGAGCAGCGGTTCCCAAAAATTCGTGTCAATTTAACTGTTTTTCAAAAATTGAAACAACTTCAAAAAGAACAGAAATGCAAATCTTTTTGTGAAGTCGTTGAAAAATTGCTCGAGTCATACGAAGACGTGAACAACTTATCTGTAGTTAAAAGTGAGTAACACTTGTATAATTTCAATATTTACTTGCTCGTTGACTCTTTGAATACCACCAGTCCTTTAATAATAAAGTTAATAGTATAATAATATTAATAATATTAATAATATTATTAATAGAATGTTCTATAATTAAAATGCTATTAAAAATAAATTAGAATGTGAAGAACAGGAAGAATCCAAGTAAGACTATTAAACGCGTCGATGCACTTCTCAGGTTGTTACTCTTCTCGGCTTCACATATACCAATAGTCGTGCAATCATACCCATCTCGACATATTCCACATTGAGGACGACATCGGCCTTCGAATTTGGTTTGACCAACATCCGTAGCGTTGTCTGTTATTGTGCATTGAGTACCTGCACAGTCCCAAGCAGTATGATCACAAATTTCATAATTGTCGTATTCTTTGTTTCTCACAAGTATTGCACTTGTAAGACGAAGATATGTGTCATTTTTGATGAACTGCTCGATCGTCAAAAAGTTGTTGAAATACTTTCTTGTTGGGTTGAAAGCAATTCTGACACTCACTGTTTTATTCTTGACATTTATAAAGTGCTTTTCTTTCATATTATCTTCGACAAAAGTGATACCATCTAAGTCAACATCACCGTACTTACTCTTAAATCCAACATTAGCTTTAATAACTTCGAAGTCACTGATATCCTCAAGTTCATATTCCAAGTGCAACTCATCAAAGTCGTTCTCAATTGATATTTCAGTTGGGTAGAAGAATCCAAAAGAAAGCATCCCCTTTCCATCAGTAACATAATTGGGTTTCATTTCAACATACTTCGGAACATCCAAAGAGACTTTCCAAGTCTTTAAGTCTGGGTTGAATCTCCACAATTGCCAAGAGAAAAAGTCGACTTTATCCTTTTGAACAACACCAGTGTAGATATTCTTTTCCATTACAAATTTGTATTCAGTTCGCTTTGACGATGGAAATCTATCAGTCACTTGTACACTTCTTCTCTTGATGAAGTCGGTTATATTGAACAATTCAGAGTCTATTTTGACATCATCAAATGAATACAAATACATCTGACATACAGTTCCACTCAACTGTATCGTGAAAGAAGCATTTTCATCTTGATAAAATATACCAGTGTACGTCTCACATATGACCTTTATTCTTGTAACTATAACATTCGAATTGATCACTTGTACTTTATATTCATTTTCAGTGTTATTTATAAGATAGACTTCTGGGTTCACTCCATAGTCTCGATTGGAGTCGACTATAGTTGCTTGAGAGAGGTATGGAATAATACTATTAAACCCACCAGTTACTTGATTGTATATAGAAGACTCAACACCGATTAAACGATATTTCATCCCATAAGTTTCAGCAGATATCTTAATATCCATGACACCAGTGATCATACATATAACGGTCTTTTGAGAAGGTCCAGTGATCAAGATTTGTGTCCCACACCGACTGTATTTCTTATCACCAATTGTGTTGAACATAAAAGTCGTTGTTACATAACATCTTGTGTTTCTGTTCAATCCCAAAATTCTAATGTTGGCGTTGTCTACATTGCCATAGCATTCCCATCTGTTTGTGTAATTCACTTCATTGAAATCGTAGTTCGTGACTGCAAAGTCATACATCAAAAGTGGTTTGGTTTCATTGGAGTGGCTCAACTTATTGTTAACAACGTTCTGTGCTTTTCTGTTGGGCTTTTTCGACGAATACTTGGCTTCACACGTATCTAGTATAAGGCAAGATAATAATATAATAATGAAGTACATCGTTAAGTGATTTTGTAGTTCAAAAGAACGCTTATATACAATTGTTTTTATTAATAAATGCACATTTTCTGTTTTGCGCGTTTCTTTTGAAAATTAAGACTGTATTTTGCATAAGCAATCCAATACACACCAAACTTCTAAACATAAAATTCTGTTGTTACTAAGTTTAAAAGTAATTTGATTAAAATTTACAATAGTTTTTATGTCCACAAACGAGTAAATTGACTTTTTCTAAAGAAAAAACACATTTCAAGCACATTCAATTATCTTTTACAAATTTGAATGTGTTGGTCTCCTAATATATTACAAAACATATACAAGTGAAAAGTTAAATATTTTTTCAACAAACAGGAGTTAAAGTAGAAGAGTCTATTTTTATAAGATAGCACTTTTGGGAATTCACAATGCCGTGCAGCTATTTTGTGGGTTTTTCTAATAATGTCACTTTAAGTTTTTCAATTTTATATTTAAGGGCTCACAAGTAGATTTGTCTCAATATGTCTTTTTTTAAATGTTTTCAAATAAAAACAGATTTATTTTTTTATTCAAGAGTTGGTTACAATAAAGAATATATCATTTGTTTGTTCAATCTATTTCATTTAAAAAACTGTTTAAACAATTGTAACATGTGGAAATTATAATTAAAAACAAACTTCAAAACAACAGAATGGTTGGTTATCTCGAAGATTCAATGAACCATTTAATACTGTTTTAATAAAATCAATAGAAAATTAATTTAGATGTAGTTTAGAATAGTTATTATTTTAACGTTATTATTATATTATATTTACAATATAATATAATAATACATTTTTATTGTCATAAAACAGTTAATTTTAACCGTTTTGTCGGTTAAATTGTCGACTCTTATTCAAAACATTTGTTGATTCTGCAATATCTTGTTATTTTAAAACCAATTGGATATTCAATATTAGAAAGTAAAATTTATTTGACTTTATAAACTTTGCAATATATAATTAACCATTTACAATCAATTATCTAATTAATCATGAACTAAAACAATGAATTAATCTGTATGATTATTGTATTATATAACATTTTATAATTTTTGTAATTTTTGTTATTGAATTAATAAATGATTTGGTACACAATTTACTTTAATTCTTTAACACGAAATTTGGCAAAATGGTTTGTATAGATAAATAATACATTCGATTGTATTGTTTAAACTTTTGAATGATTATGATCGTATTTAAAATATAATTTAAATATTACAAAATACAAAAAATATACAAGAACAACACTTTTGCCTTTTTTATTTTCATTTTACACTTTTGTTTACCAAAATATAACAGAGTTTTTTTTATTAATAATAAATGTCCATTTTATTTTTAAAACAATTTAACTCCCGATAGTAATTTAAACTTGCCAATCAATTATTGCTATATTTCAATTGGCAAATTCAATTACAGACAACAAAAAAGCCGTTAAATATATGTAAAAAATATGAAGGACATATATTATTTATACTGGTTTAAATTATTTAGAGTCATTCAAACAACGTTGTCCTTTCTCCAAACGTTGTCCCCTTCGATTTTTTCGATGCATTTTCTTTTTTATTCGAAATAAATTCAAAATAAATTTAAAACCGCCATGCAACAAAATAATTTTTTTGTTTTTTTTTTATTTTAATTTTTTGTTTATTTTTCAAACTCAATAACAAATCAAAACAAAAAAACAATAAATTTCAAGATCATTGTTATTTTTCTGAACAGAAACGTTTTCAGATAACCATCGCAAAAGGCTGCGTTTGATTAGAAAGAACTTTAAAGGCGAGAATGTGTTACAAAGAACATATATAGAATTGTAAATTGGATAGTAAGACCAAATTTACGTGTTTCAGGTGTGTATAGCATACCATTGTATTGAAGACTGTTGACAACATTTGAGTGTGGTTATGACACCAATTCTATATGTTAGTTGCTTCTTAGCTCCTTGTTATTAAACATCAAATTTCAAACACACAAAGTCTTATGTTTTTGTGTTCGCTGAACCCATTTAAATTTTTACCCTTGTTATATATATTATTAACGATTGTTAAATTATAGTTTATATAATTTTAATTAACGAGTATAATATATAAAAAATTTCTTTGTATTTTACAATAATTTACAATTGTTTTGAAAAAAATATAAAAAAACAATTTATAACTGTGATAACTTGACCCGACGATGACAATATATCTCGATATGATGCTTAATTGGCAGTTTTGATTTTTCAATAAGTCTTGACTCTTGTCTGATCTTTTTTAATGCTTTTTTTCTAAGCAATTCATCCGATAATGTGGGTTCGAAAGATGTCATACACAACTTGATTTCTTCTTCATTAACATAATCCTCGATCTTCCGGCAACTTTCCTTTATCACTTCACATACAACGCTCAACGCTTTTGTCAATCTTGGTACAAGTCCACATGCAATAAAAGAAGAAATAATATTCTTCGAAGTTGTGACTTTTTCCCATGCATTCACGATTGTTAAAATTTGAATTGAATTGTATGACAATTCCGAATAATCTTCTCCAGAAAAGGTGGAATCTGTTGAGCACATGCGTTTTTGGCTACCAAAGATGCCAACATCTAACATCTGTAGTAGGTGTGAAGAGTGCGCTGGCATGAGAAAAACGCGAACGTTGTTATCAGTTAAAATTTTAATTGCAGATACACTCACGTGTGATCCATAACCATCCATTATGAGTGCTACTTTACCATGATAATTTAATTTTTTTCTTTTATCTTCAATTGATGGTATAAATACACATTGAAGCCACTCGTTGAACAAAACTTTTGTCATGAACGACTTCCTTGCATACTTCAGACAAACTCGATCTTTTGTTACTCCGTTCACTAATAATTCTTTTTCCACAGACAAAGTAGGAACAATGAAGAATAGCGGAAGTGATGAACCGTCCATACAAATAGTACCCAACATTGTTTGTCTTTTTCCCTCCCTGGAAATTGGCACGTTGACATTGGATGTACCGTCTCTGGCAGATATTATCACGGTGTGATCCATTTGATCCACCCATTTTTGGAACCCCGACTCATCACAATTAAATATAAAGGCGGTCGGAATTCCACCAATTTCATTATCTAGTATTTCAAAATAACAATTAATTTGTTCCATATTCACAGTAACTCTTTCTTCTTCCATTATTTGACCTTTTGCAGTTTGAATTCTTTTTTCTTTTGTGACGAAACCATAGAGACTTTTTGCGTTAATGTCTTCGCGATCAAGGTCGTTGATTATAAACGACATCATGTCGTTATAAGTCGCAGGATCGTTACTCTTTTCTCTTTGTTTAACAAACTCGACAATCAATGTCGATTCGAACTCACTAAACAATGACCCTCTACCTGACTTGCCTCGCTGCTCTTTTACCAATTTAATTTGTCTCTTCCACACTTCTTTTGACAATTTTGTTGTCAAACTTGAATAAAATTCGTCACTTTTAATTCCTAATTTCTTTGTCATGTATTCTTTACATCTAAACAACTGAATTCGTCTATTCGGAGCAGCTTTGTTTCTTCCAAGTTTGAAAAATCTGGTTAATGTGTCGAGCACATAATCATAAAGGTCTACTCTGTTGATCTTTTCAAGATAATCCATTAGTTTATCACAATCAAATTCGGCATCTGATAGACAAGGTTCAATCTGAATGTCTCTGTTAAAGGACGGGTCAATTTCCTCCATTGTTAATGAAGATTCTTCGTGTCCCTGTGTGTGGTCATTTTTGTCTTCGTCAACTTCATCAACTCTTTCTACAGAGTTAATGATATCAATAGCATCATCATTGTTGACGTGTATTTCAGGACTTTGTTGTGTTTGAGGAACAACATTTTGTATTGGATTCGAAACAACACGTTCCCCTGGGAGTGGACATCTCAACTGTTTTAATATATAATACAGTTGGTTAAATCCATGATGTTTCTGTTCATAACTCTTTAGGATTGTTAAACAATTAACAATGTGGGTGTTAATTTCTTTGATGTCGAGCATACTGCAATACGCTTTACGTGATGCTTCAAGCAATTCTTCGATTACTTTACATTGACACTTGAAGTACTCCAAAGTTTCTGCCATATCTGCGGTGGTGTAATTTGGTAGATTGTTGTAATTAAATATACTTCTATTGACATGTGCATACAATTGCATATTCAGTTTGCTATACAAATCCTGTATATACTGGAATGTTTCGGCTTTGACATCCAAATTATAAATTGGTCGAAAGACATTTTCAAAGTTAATGTGAGTCGAACCAATTAATGTCCATATGTCCCAATATCCAAGTGTTGGTATGGGTGATGTATTCATTTGTTATTTTAAGTTTTCAAATACGTTTATATATTTTATATTATTTATTATTATCACAGTTTCATTTTAAGTTAAGTTGATTTTTGCAAGTAAAGGGGGAATAATAGAGCAAAAGAAAATTTTGTTTTAACAAAATTAAAAATAATATTTAATAAAAGAAACTCTATTTTTTATTATAGTTGAAAACTGGTGGTAAAAAAATGTTGAATTTGTCTTTGATTTAAACTTTTGATAAAATCGTTTTTGATTCTAAAAATATAAAACTAAAAGGATTAGGTTTGGAGAAAGGACAACGTTGTTTGACTGACTCTATTAACAATATACAAATTAAAAACAAATAAATATAAAAAAATACTTATAAAATCAATAATAAAGCGTTGTTTTTTTACTTATTTTTATTATTAAATAAGTTTAGTTCTAAGTTTCAACACAATTTCAATACTGAATCCATTTTTTAATTTCTACTTATAAGTTACAGTATATCGTTAATATTATAGTATAACAACATAATTTGCGATAATACATTAAATATAACTTATTGTTAAATAAAGACATTTAAACGATAAACTTCTGGTTATTTGTTTCCAATGTCATGTTTCACTGTTTTAACTATTATTGATTTTGAGCGTTTAATCAAATAATGTGTTTTAACCAAATAAAGTTGAA